AACAAGGGTTATATTTTAGTTAAAGAATTCATTTTGATCACATGAAAAGGTCTTCGACGCAGCAAGCTTTTTTTTGTCGAAATTTTGTTTTTTATTATTATAAATAATGATAAATTGAACACACTTTGCATATTTGGCCGAGAAAAATTTTTTTGTGACGATCCCTGCAAGCCATTACTAACGCCGAAAAAAAATTTTTTTTTGCCAATCGGGAATTTACATATTTATAAAACGGTTTTTTCTATGATGCGGGACCTCTTAAACCACCATTTACCACGCCTTGTGGCTAAATTTCAAAAATGTGTCAAATTTTATTCACGATGTCACACAAATTTATAAATACCCAAATTCCTCGTGAAATATATGTACTAAAAAGGAATAGGACTCAACTATACCCTTTAATCTGCAATTTTCCATGAATTGTCTATCCATCAAAGCTCCTAAACCAAAAAAGGTTATTCATGAATGTAAAAAGAGGCTTCAACGGACTTCTCAAAAAGGAAAGTGCAAAAACCTAGTACTAGTATTAGACGACTCTTGAAATTTCTGTTTCGATCAGATTAACCTTCTTTTAAATATTAGATATTAAAATAATTATAATGATTTTAAATAAGTATTTAATATAAAGTATTGAATAAAACGATCAAAGAAATGTCGAAAGACTTCAAGTATTATTTGTTAATTCATCATGTTTCCATGTTCGTTGAGAAGGGGGCTTTTAAGTACAAGTATCTTAAGCCCGCAGATCCTTGTCGCAAATCTTTCTTCTTAAAATGTTCCATTGTGAAATAATTTATTAATAATTAATATTAATAATTCTTTTTATAAAAAAAATCACATAAATGAAAAATTTCGACTGATATTCTCCAACACATTTAATACGTTCACATATAACATAAGCAAAATGATATTAATTCTAATTGCTATTATTATTGAAATTGCTATATTCATCATATGTAAGAAACGAAAAGCATGTTCTACTGACATTGGGACAATCACGAACCAAAAAACATTCCGCGATGTTGGTGTACAAACCAACGACGACTTTTTTGAAGAATATTCATTGTTACCAAGTGAGAATAAAAGCCATGATAGTAGTACGGCTAATTTGGGCACTTGTATGGATCAAAAAGGCGAGTTACCGCCTAAAACAAATGTTAATGATAATGCCAAATCTTTAAAAGACAATGATGCTGATGCTAAAGATTCAAATTATCAAGAAGCTGCCGATTTTGAAAATAAACCAGATCCTAGTGTTGATGTTGTAAAAATTAATGATCCCAAGAATGTCTCATTGCAAGAAATTCATGATGAACCTGTTGATATTTCTGATTATGAAGAATCTCGTATGGATAATGATAATATTGAACCCGAATCCGAAACAGTTGGTGGCGATGTTGCAAAAATTAATGATACCAAAAGCGCTAGATCACATGAAAATTATGACCAATATGTTGGCTTTAGCTCTGATTATAAAAAACCTTGGATGGATAAAGATATTGAACCTAAATCCGAAACAGTTAGTTGTGATCATCAACAACAGATATCAAATTATCCAATTACCGATGATAATAATTTTGATTGGTGCAATGAGGCTTCTAGAAGTGTTACATTTCAAGAAGCTTATGACAACAGACTTAATAAATTAGATAACAATGTTTGGGAATCAAACAATGAATATGATGATAAAAACAATCATTGGCTAACGAAAGCTTTTATGTTTGAAGAAGAATTGAAAAATTCTACAAATAACTATTATAGAAATAGAAATGATAGACCTCAAAGTAAAGGCAAAGCTCCCATTTATACTTCACGATGGAACAATTCACAACCGCAACAATACAATCAACACTATAGCAGCACCAGTGGAAATTATTATAATGGTAATAATATTGGATGCACCAAGTGCAATTCAAGCAAGCATCTCACTATTGACTGCGAAATAGTATTAACAAAAAATTTGCTTATGATTTTAAGAGGAACTTTTGGAGAAAATTTTTATAATGATTATTTAAAAAATAATGAGTTTTATAAGTAGTAAATTAGCATATTAATAAAATGCTATTTATGTATTTTTCCTTATTGTATATAAATTAAAACTTATATTAGAAGATTTAACATAGTCATTAGTCAAAATTATTCTTGAAAAAATCAATTCTGCTAATAAGTTTAGTTTAAACCATATAGTAGAAATATAATATCATGCCTTTCATTAATTTCTCTAAATCTTCATTTCTATCTGATAAATCTTATTAGATGAATTTCCAACCACTTCAACAAAATCAACTTGTATATTTTCTCCATGTAAATTAAGATAGATGGTTCCATCATACTCATAACCAATTTTCTGATTTTAATTTGCTTTGTTAGCTTTATTTTTCTGAAACTCATTCATTAAATTCTCCAGTTCGCCACTAGTACAAAATATGTAAACAATTAGGTTCATCTAATCAAGAATGGGGTTCACAAAAATTACTTACATTTCAATCCAAAACAAACACTCACATCATGAAATACTTTAGCAAATATAGGGTATACTATTTCTTCCCTATACTTTAGTTCTGATGAACCAGGGTTGGCAAATGTGCAGTCCATTGGGTCCATTAATGTAACACTTTAACCATATTTAGTGTTTTACTAATGGCAAACCAGTCAATTTTCCAACCCTGTGATGAACTGCTATTAGTAATGGTCCTTTTTTCTAATAAATTTGGTAATATTGATGTGTAAATAATATTGACAAAAATCAAAAAGATCAAAAATTTCACACAAAACTTACAAAATAACATAAATTCTTTGGCCCAAAGTGATTCATAGTCATTGCTATGGACATAATTTGTAAAAGGTTTTCTTTCATATAATTCTGTGAGAATAGCTTGAAGATGAACAACAAGATTAGCATCATCCAAATAATTTTGATTATTTTGTGATATTCATTAACCCAGGGTTGGAAAATGTGCAGTCCATTGATGGTCCATTGGGTCCATAAGTGTAACACCTTAATCATATTTAGTATTTTATTAATGGCAATGGACCAGTCCAAAATCCATCAGTTCTCAATGGACCAGTCAATTTGCCAACCCTGCATTAACCAATAACTGCTTTAAAATTATCTAGTTTAATTGTTTCATTAACTGATCTTGCAGTCTAATTGTTAGAAAAGAAACAATATTTATGAAAAAGTGATGTCTACAACCTCTATTTTATATGTAAAATATCTTACCTCATCTCATCTTTGCATAAATATTTTCATTTTATCCAGGAATGTAATAAAGAGTTTTAGTATAAGGTTTCCAGTTCAAACTATTTTTGAAAAAAGTAGTTTTGGCAATAGTTTGGGCCTATGAAAATTAAATTTTTGCCAAAGTGTTTTGACAATTTCAGCTACTGAGCAAGATAGTTTCAACCAGACACCTTATTTTAATATACAAAAATCACCTGTCAAATAATAAGATTGTATTATAAGCTACTAAATTGTGCTCTGTATTTTTTAATTGACTGAAAGCTTGTATTTGGTCAGGCTTTTTTATTATTATTAATAAATGTAGATAAAAGAAAAATTAATAATAATGCTAATAATATATATATAATGTCTTTTACTGGCATACTTTGATAAGTTCCTTGTCATTTCTTGTTTCTATTTCAATTATTTCCTTTGTCTTTGTTGCAATTTTTTAAAGAAAATATTATTGTTATTTGATAGACACAACTAATTATTATTATGCACATATGGTTATACAAAAAGTTCATATATATATATATATATTGTTTTTGTTTTTTTGGGGGCACAAATTGGAAAAACAATTTGTTTTTTACAAGATGAGGAAATGTGAATGTTGCAAGGTATAGCATGGCTCTAAAAAAGACATGTTTTTATTTATAGTGTGAATGTAATGATCAAAATCATATTATTGTAATGATTGCACCACATATAATGTAAAGCATAGTGGAAGTTCTATTATGATCAACATTTGCAATTGTCACATTTACATTTTAGTAGAAAATCTTCATGTTACAAGCATAGTGGACTTTCGATTCGTGTAACGTGACTATTGAAAATTTTTGCCGATCACAATTCATAATAGATACAAACGTAAAATTATAACAGTAAAATAACACTAG